AAAGTGTGAATTGATTTAATGACACTCTTTAATTATGTACATGTAAAAATAATTAATAATTTTGAAAATAAAATTGTTTTGAAGTTCTTTGTTGTCCACTTAAACAAACACATTTTCAATACCTGTGTCAATTGTGTGTTTTTGCCTGCAGTTGGTGATTTGGACCGTCAGAACCCTGACATGCGAATTATAAATGTGGGCCAATTAAGGAATAATAATGAATTATGCAAAAATGTCACGAGGTTATTAGGATAATATTAAATGATGAGTGAGAGAAAGTGGGGGGAAATTATGTAAAAAATTACTACTCACTAACATGCTAATTGAAGCGAGCACAGGACTAGCTCGTTGGGAGAGTTCGCTGAAGCGAGAAGCCCAACGAACAGACGCAAAAAATGAGTTAAATGAGCTCAGAGCCCCATAATCTCACATAAAATTGCTCAAGAAACCCACTAAATTGTAAGAATATTCCAACTAAAAGACAAGGCCGTCAATGCATTTATCTAAATATAACAAAAAAATAAATAAAATCTACTCTATTAGGTCAATGTTCAATGGTGAGCTCGCTTCAGTGAGAAGACTAGCGAGGAGACAAGGCACTAGATAGTAGCTACTGTCTGGGAAACAAATTGGCTTGCTGTCATTTTCGTTTGTGCGAGCTGGACAACGAGCATTTGAGATATGCTCGCTGAGAGAGGCTCGCTTCAGCAAGCAGCATATATTGTTGAAGTTGTAAAATAGCATTGTGAGGTTTATATTATGGGAACCTCATAGTTAGTTTTTTTTTTTTTTTTGTAATTATAGTTATCTCTTTTAAGACTAATACGATATGTATAAGCTAGATTTAAATGGTTCCGCAAATGTCATAAGTTATAATTACAGAATTGAAATATTTTGTATACAGTTTTAAAAGGAAATGATTGAGTAAATTTTTTTTTTACTATATTTTAATTCCTAATGTGATTGTAGCGCTTAGTATCATATATGATAATAACAAATCAATATACAATGGGGTGTTACGTGGACACTCAAAGATGGTAGCTATTGACGGTTTGACAATGACATACATTGTTTGCCACTTCGTATTGGCATAAAATGCCTTCATATCTAAATTTGTAATATAGTACAGATTCATATGATTTTTTGTTGTTGCATATATAATACTTCATTGTATTTTTACACGCAGCATTATATTAATAGTAAATCTATTATTATAAACAATGGGGGAAAAGGTGTGACAAAAATATGCAAGTGGTCATTCTGTTTTATACATATCAGTTTTCAAATAAGGAAAAAAAATTGAAAACAAGTTTCTCGTATAATTAGTTAAAGGGTTTTATTAATGTTATGTGACATGATATAAGTGGATTTTTCAACACACACAATAATGGAGAGAGAGAAAATGAAATGACAAAAGAGAAAGAAAAACATGTGGACCCCTCTTTAATGTGTGTGTAGGAAAGTGAAGTTATGTTATGTAAAATAATAAACATAAAACAACCCTTAGTTAAAAAAATAATAATAATTGTTTTCTTGTTATGCAAGGATTAACATGTACGATTTAATCAAGAAAATTGATATATCATGTTATACAAACATGCTTTGGTGGGGTCCGCCAAATATTAAAAAAAGAAATAAAATAAAAAAGCACTGCACGGAAATGATATAAAGCAGGAGGAAAAAAATAATAATTTCCTATTGCTTTTCCCTTTAATCAATTATCTTGGTGCAAAGTTGACACTTATTATCGGGTCATCATAATTTGTTTTAGAGAAAGCGCCCAATACCCCTTCTTCTCAATCACCAAAAGATTAATTAGAGTCAAGCCCTGTTAGAGCCCAATACCCCTAATTCTCAATCACCAAAAGATTAATTAGAGTCAAGCCCTGTCTTGCAGTGGCCTTCTCGATCTCCTCAAGTTTGACACAACTGAAGATAATTCCAATGATGATATACATATAGCTTGAAGCTGCACTGATATAAATATGTGTATCATGGAGTCCATAATGTTACAGATATTAAATAATAATTTAAATTCCTATAATAAACACGTGCAATTAAAATTTTATAATCTTTGTATTGGTGAACATAGAACATGTTAAGAATACACTGGGAAATTTTTTTGTTAGATATAATTTTTTTTTTTGGAATCACAAATCCTGAAAATATGAATTTATCAGGAATATTATCAAAAAATTATTTGATAAGTTAAAATAATCCTAGTAATATTAGCTCAAGTTTCTTGATTATATGTTTAGTTGATTGTCAATGATTCATGGAAATGTGGACTAATTTTACAAAACTAATATTTGATGAAGTAGAGATCGTGACTGTCGATTTAGTGTCAGAACCAAATGATCGTAGGTTTGGGGTCACCGGAACGAAGCAGGTGAAGTAGAGAGGAACCCAATAAAGGATTCGTGAAAGGGAAGAGAGGAACCTATGATTTTGTGAAGCATAGTATCACAGTTAGAACTTTAACAAGAGAAGATATTTTAATTATGAAAATATTAAAGTATAATTATTTATGTCCTATAGATTATGTAAAAAATTTCTACCAGACAAAGATCCAAGAATACCACCCCACATGGTGGAGCGCATTTATCGTGAGCCGAGACCTTATGGTCATTTTCCAAAAATAGAAAGAAAAAAGGATTGAGAAGAGATTTAAATGGAAGAAAGGGGTATAAATGGAAGAAAAGTTTTTTTTTTTAGTAAAGGACCATCAAATTTTATTGTGCTCCTGGAGAACAATAAAAAAATCCCAATGGTAGTATTATTTCACTGGATTCTTATTCATATTTTTAATTCCTATGAATCTCATTTTCTCAAAAAAAAAATTAAAAATCCTTGTACCAATCATGAGTAAATAGAATTTCCAATATGAATTTCATGAAAATCTAAAATTTATCCCTCTACCAAGCTACCCCTTAGAATTAGTTTTGTGTACCAAGCCCAATGACTCTGGAAACTTTGACGAGTGAGAACTTGTGGCTAGGACAAGTTGAATTACAAATTAGGCCTCATTGGAAGTGGTCCAAAATATAGCAACTATTGTCCAACCCAATATGGCTTTGAGTTTTGAGTTTCTAGATGAAAGAAACATAAAGCATACAACTAGAACAAGGACGCAATTGAATATGACAAGGACTTTACAATTATAAGGTAATTACCGTATGAACAACGAATTGAATATAGTACTTTTTTCAAAAACCTTTTCAGGCTAATTATAATAACTTTTCTCCTTTAATAAATATGGTATTAATTTGGGGTCCAGTTTTTTTCATTTTGTATTGTAATAACTTTTCTCCTTTAATAAATATGGTATTAATTTGGGGTCCATTTTTTCTCATTTTATATTATGATAACTTTTCTCCTTTAAGAAATGTCGTATTAATTTGGGGTCAATTTTTCATATTATATGTATTTGAAATTTTCTTGCAAACTTTGTAATCCGAAAAATACATAGTTATAATATAAAAAATAATAATTTTTAATATTATAACTATGTATATATTCCCTAAGAGATATAAAAAAAATTTAATATTATAATTATATTTTTTTCAGAATATATAATTTGTAAAAAAATTTCAAATTCCTGCATCATGATAAATTATTACCCCATTAATTTGATAATAGATTCTAACACTCTGGAACTTACCATCAAATAAATAATTCATCCATATATGAAGACAAGAAAATGGCTATAGTAATATTACTATGCGTGATAATTATTTTCCCCGGAATAACAAGATCTAAGTGGTACTGGTAATTGGTAAATACTAAATAGGCTTTGCAGCCTGTGACAGATTCAATGCGGCTACAGTGCCACTGACTTGCAGCATTCGGCAGAATTTATGTGCTTCTTTTAAGGAATGGAATTGTTTATTCTTGCCAAAAATTAAAGGAGAATCCTGAGGTTGCTTAACTCACGAACTTGAGAAAATTTAAGTATGGACATCATTATTACTTAAACACATCTTTTAAGTAAAATATTGACTTGTTTCTTGCCTATAAATGGTAAACGATGCTGCTGCTTTTCTCTAAATGTAAAGTATTATTTTATCTCAACTTTTCATTATCAATTTTTGTCAACTCGTTTAGAATCGGCAAAAATTTAGGTGAAAGTTGTAAGTTTAAGTTGTATTAACAAATTTTCAATTAAAAAATAAGGGCGTTACATCTCTCATTTAATATGAGGTTAGAAAATCTCCTACACACACATAATTTTAATGGATCCCACCATAAACAAAAAATAAAACAAATAATGCATGCAAAACAAACTCTCACTGACATGAGAAAACAACTCTCGTGTTAAAGGAGAAACTATTTTCCGAAAAAATAATTAACTGGACCCAAATGAACTTGGAGGTTTACGGGTTCTCAATCATGAACATTGGTTTAAAATACATATTTTTGTGTGTGAATAAATCACAACTATTCTTCATAGAAAACAATTTTGTTCATCCATGATTGAGACTTTAAATTCATTTCAAAGATTATATTGAAGAGGATTGAATACATACTGTTACCTTCACTAATTTAGTTTTCATGCATCAATTAAGCTACCGTTATTTGTTGGTGTAAAATATATATATATATATATATATATATATATATATATATATATGGTATTTTTACACAAATGAGTACCTTAACAATTTTTGTTATCTTTGAAAATTTAACTTGGCTAGTCAAAAGCACGATTCCTGACTAGGATTTAACAACAATTATTATCATCATAAGATCATATAAATAATTGTACAGACCATAACTTGGAATTGGGAATCACGTGATGCCATTAAGACAAAACCCCCGACCAAGTGATTAATTAAACAAAAACTTCAATATCGAGAGAGAGAGAGAAAGAGAGAGAACTTTGAACAATTCCCCCCAGTCAAAATATCATATCATAGTAATTAAAAAAAATTAAAAATTTGAGTAGTAAACTAGTAATGTTTTTTCCCCTCTGTTGGTGCTTAGCTTATGCATTCGTGTACCTAACACAGAGGAGATCTATGAGGGATGCCTTTTCTTCTACTCATGCTAGTGGCCATGTCTTCATCCGAAACCTTATTACTATTGGCCATAAATTTTGCACACACCGTCCATCCACTCCTTCTCTTCCTAACAATCTCTGTGCAAGCCATGCTCATGTTCTCTGACCCTGATGACCCTGAAGATGAGCTCATCGGTTCATCACTGTCCACAACAGTTGAACGAGTCATCTCTTCATCCCCCATGTCTTGTGGGATCAAGAAATCAGGACTTAGCTGTAAGGAGTTGCATTTCCTCAAGTAGGGAGAGAGGTCCTTGTAGTGTTTAAGCACAAAATCCACCTACACATAAATAAATTAATAATCAAGTACCTATTACTTAATAATCAAGCACCCATATCTGATATAAAAGTTAATCTCTCACTGGTCTTGTATATTGTAATCAATTCGCTATATAATTCAAGTATCAATTCACTTGTAAATTGTAATCAATGTGCATATAAATAATGATACAAGTCAGAGTTTTGATTGCTATATTCCAGCGAAGAACTATCTGTTTTAATCCATAATTCTATCTATATATAAACCTTTCACAACTAAACAAAAGGGAGTTGTATATACCTTGCATCCTAGAGAGCAATGGATAAAAGGCTCTTGGAGACTTCTATCACATGAAGTGCAATAGTTTCCTGACCCTTTGAATTGCCGGTTCTGAGGTCTCTTCTTGATGAACACCACTTTGGCACTATTGATGGTATAGGCCTAAAAAATAGAATTCAAACCTTTTTGAATCAGCATCCAATTATCAATCAGCATCCAATTATCATAATCACTAGTATAATTATATATATACCTGAACATTGGAGCAGTCAATGAGTTTCTGAAGATCTTCCAATCTGACAACATCATGATAAACATAACGGCGAACTTGAAGAAGCCTATGGAAGCGATGAGATGGCAAACAGTGAGGACAAATACTTGTGCAACAATCTAAGCAGCAAACATTCTTCTCATTCTTTTTAACATTCTCATGGTAAGAGCACCCCACGAAGAACTTTTCTGTATAAAGAGCTTCCAACCATGCAGGCTTTTGGTATCCCTATATATATATATATATTAACCATAACCAAAAGAAACTTAATAAATCATTTGAATCAAATAAGAATTAATATGAATAGAAAGAGAAGAAGAAAAAGAAGGGAATATATATTCAAACCATGATCATATATATATAGAAATTAACACTAGCAAGAGAAGAGAGCCTCTCAATAATCTCCTTGTGTAGTAGTTATGGAGGTTCACAAGAGGAGTATGGGCATGTATTTATTCTTTGGAAAGATAGACAACATTTTGTACATAGGGGGAACGCTTATCATATAGAGGGTATGAGAAAGACAGAGAGAGAGAAAGAGAAACCGAAAGCCATAAAGAAACAAGTTAAGATATGAGGGAACGTGGGCGCTGTTTCCGTGTCTCCCCATTTCTCTAAACTATTCTCTGCTCATCTTCTTGGCTTATGAGCTCTATGCCTAAAGAAACTAATCTCTCCTTGAACATGCTGCAATTCCAAATTTTTATTTTATTTTATTTTTTTATTATATATAATTTGTCACCTCTCTTCTTATTCAATACATCTTGGAAACAACCAGTTGCTAATAGCCACTTGATTTTGGACTTTGAAATGGAGGGTTTAATTTCATTATTTTTGTGCAACTCATATGTCTATAGTTATAGTGTGTCGCATGTCGTTGCTTAGTTCACTTCTCCTATGGTCTAATTTAATTGACATTTAATATATCTCAAAAAAATATGAAATCAAATTAATTTTATCAATAATGTAAATGAAATTAGTTCTTCCTTATTTTTTATTATTATTTTAAGAAGTCTGCCAGCTGCCCAGCATATAAGTTTAAAACCCACTGAAAGGGGAAAAAAAGGTCAGACAGTTTAGTTGAGAAAGCACAACAGAATGTGAAGTGACCTTTTCTGCAAACAGTATTTTTTTTCCATTTAATTTCCTTAATTTGTGCTATGTTGGATTTCTGCGTATCTCTGATCATCCCACTTTGCATAATTGATAATAAGAAAGAATTATATTTATAAAAAATTTGTTTACAGACTACATTAAATATGATCGGTCATATTTTAATTAAGGGTGTATGATCGGTCATACTTAGTGTAATTTATAAAAAAAAATTATAAACGAAATTCATTGATAATACTGATTACTGTAAGACTTCAAAGCTAAGCAACTAGCCTCATTTTCCATATAATGTACCTACGGCTTTTATTAAAAAATTAATATTTAGACGATTTTTTTTTTCTTTTTCATATACATATTATAAAAATATTTTATTTTAATTAACCCGTCATACCAAATTAATAGTACAACGGGTGTACCGTAAATATTTCAAGCAATGAGAGCACAGAGACATCAATCAACTACAAACTTAGCAAGACATAGTAGCATGGAATATAGCACCGGAAATTAAGAGCATGCTTGTTTGAGAAGTGGACATTTAGAATGTTGATTAACCTCACATTTATCAGGTGAAAAAAAAATTCTCATTTATATTATTTATACATAGTATTCTATAAAATAAATTCAAGTGATAGTCAATTTAACGTATCATTTTTATTTATTTTATGTAACGACGAAAATTGAATACATAACTTAATATAAATTATTTAAATTCCTCACCACTCAATTAATGTGATGAGAATTGACGTGTTACCTAACTTGTGGCAGTACGCCTCTAAAAACAATTAGCACACCCCGATCAAGTGCTTCAATTTCTTCGTAATACACATGTATAAACAGTGTAGCAGTTTCAAGGAAACTAAAATATTGTGCACAGTGAAGAAGTTCAATTTCTAACTTTAAAATTAAGAAAATTAGTTAGCTAGGTAACTGGCTTTGATTATGACATGCACTCCAAATTACATGTTTTACTGAACATACTAGTGCAGCTCGGAATGTTGCTCCTAGTAACAACAACTGAAAGCTTTCGTTCTTGCAACAGGGAAATCTATTGGACTAATTTGATTGTTTCATTTTTGACACTGTACTATGAAATTCTATGGAATCGTGGCAAGTGGGGCAGTGGGAATTGGCATTTTGTCCCAGCTAGGCAGTTTTCCTTTGCTGCTCTCCCTAGTCCTAATTCTACTGGTGGTGACTTGGAAAATGTAACAACTAGATTAGTCAAAGCTAGTTTTCTATGTTTTAATAAGACAAAACCAAAACTTAAAGAATATTGATATAGTTATTGTCCAAACTTTCCCATCTTCCATTTTCATTTTGTGACTAACCAAAAACAATGGCAATTGAAGATGTATACTTCCCAAAACCAAATTATTCATCCACTCAGCAAAAATGGGATGGCAGCATCGCCTATAAACTGAGCCAGCTCAAATCTGAAAAACAAGACATTGTACCATGAAATCCCATGTTTTTTGGGGTATCAAACATGGGCAACATTAACGAATCAACTACTCCACTAAATCAATCACTGTGCACTTTAATAATTGTGTGGATTTGAAACAAAACATTTGACAGACAGGCACAACTCATTGAGCACTAACCAGCAAAATTAATGACAAATTATTTAAGGGCTTAATTTAGTGCTAATTTTGAGGACCTTGCTTATTGTGCCTATAGGCTCAGTCCAAGAGTTATTCTTGGGGTTTGAACGAATAGGAGATTAATCTTTGTTTCTTTCCCTACCCCTTTTTATCCTTGCTATATGGTTTTCGCGAACCCTGTTCACGTGATCCTTAGCCTTGGCGTGATATCTGACAGTGCATGGTGTCACTTTTGGCAAAACAATTTAACCAATTAAGAAGACATGGTAAAAGAAGTTGATCCCTGATTTAACTTATGTTCAAAGTTCAGCTCTATATTAAGTCCCAAGCTAGCTTCTAGTGATTATTCTAAGGCAATTTGGCATCGCACAGCAATGTGTAACAAGACTCATATATAATGACCAGCAAAAAATCTTCGTGGAATAGTACCATTTGTTGTTGCTAATTCCATATACGTGGGAACATAATAAACCTCAGTTTTTTCTTTTTTTTTGGTGAAAATGAACACGACATTCTCTTTGTTAAGCATACGTGCAATTTACTTTTGAATTTTCAATTTATTACTATTTTTATTCTTAAACTGAGAAGTTTTTCAATCATAGAAATTTACCTTATGAAATTATGAAATTTCACACTTCTTTCAGCACATGGACCAAAAAGGTTTCAAAGTATTTGGCCCAAAAGACAAATCGAAAGCCATTATTGGTGTAGCAACAAAAAGTCATAATTAAAAAATCTGGACCATCATATTTTTACTGTGTTAAATTGTTGTATTATTTATGAGGACTGATCTTGTGATCACAAATAAACTTTATGTGCATTTCCGATATTACTCTCAATCAAATTTAGAATCACAAGGAGTGAACTCCAATCCCTTGCCACTGGAGCGGTGCCACGAGGCCTTTTTCTTCATAACGGTTCCCTTAATACAATACTACCATATAGGTTAATATGCACAAAACTAGTCATAATGAACATAAACCTCGTAACTAGAAATCCATAATGGGAGTGACCTTATACTTCATAATACCTTCAATTAAATCAGCACCGACCAACAGAACTAGGATACTGCATCTGTATGTTCTTAATATCTTATCAAATTACAAAGCAAAATATAGACAAATACGTTAACAGAAGAACAACTGCAAAACAATAAAAAATAAAACTGATGGAAGAAAAGAATTGTCACCCCCACGTGCCATGAAAAGCAGAATGGTATCATATTAGCAAAGGACCTCACGTGCAAGGGATCCAAGGACCTAACTTTACAAATTTAACCGTGTATAGGGGAGTGACCTTTTATATATATATATATATATATATATATATATATATAGGGTCAGGATCATTTTACACCCAGGGTAAGTTACACTCTTAATCTTGTCCATTGATTCCACTTATATCTAAGGGTTCAAAATTTTTAATGATGTGAACCATTGGATACAAGTGGATCAATGGTCAAGATTGAGTGTAAGACTTATAACTCTTACACCAGTGTAAGAATATCCTATCCCATATATATATATATATATATATATATATATATATATATATATATATATATATATATATATATATATATATACTTTCCTTTTCCTCATATAAGTTTTTAAAGTTTAGTGTATTTGGTGAAGCAGTCAAAGGTCAAAAGATCCAGAAGTGCCCAAAGATGATGAGGTTAGATTATAATGACAAAGTGTGGGTCAGCGGGTGAGCCGCACGAGGGGATCTGTCTGCAGAGGCCAGTGCAATTCTACCTCAGCCTCACTTTGCCCCTTCTAGTTTAATCCCTTAATTAGTCCCTTCCACATGTCCTATTTTATTTGCCTGCCCTTATTTTTAAAGGCTATGTCACGTGCAGAGCCGTTTTCAAAGACCAAAGGATGGATCATAATATGAACTCAGTCTCAGATAACCTCACCCCTTTACCATATAACAGCTGTTGCGAATATTTTGTGAATCAAAACACCCTTTTACCAATATGTCGTTACTCATTAACTTCATCCTGATATAGCCATCACTGAATATTGAATAGAAACTGCAGTTTTATATACTTCTAGTTGTTTACACTGAAGAACCCCATATGTCTGCAGTGTTACATCATTAAAATGAGCTTACGTTCCACCAATGCTACGTACATTAAACACTACTCTAGTTAGTCTACACATTTTTTTTGTTTTGGTGGAGTTTTTCTAGCGTACACATACACGTTACTTCATTCAAGATAATTGAAAAAATAATGTGAATTTGTTATTTCAATAATTGTGTCAGTATCATTACTCCTGAAGGTCAATGTAATAATATGAGGTTGGTTACTTGATCGAAGCATATCATGTGCTACAGCTCCACTAAAACAACCTACCCTAAAATTAGGTTGGTTGAGTTGCATGATCATCTTTCCAATTTCATGAAACTTCTAAAGGCTCATAAGTAATCCTCAAATTTCTTCTGAGCTCTCAGCGTATCCTTAACATGACCCACACTGTCCAAATGTCTAATTTGGCATTTACACAATGTAGATGATGTTCTTTATAAGAATTGTCAGAATTCTGATATATAGTTAGTTAGACATAAATATATGATGCATTTTACACACATGCAGTGAACCTTTACATGTGAGCCAGTTTTTCTTTTCACCCTTTCATTTAAGGTTTATTTACAAATTCTTTACAGATGAAACGCATATAAAAATATAGAAGAACTTTGATAAACTTGAGGAAAATCAATGCTACAAATGGACCAAAACTAGTTTTAAGGCTTCTGAGCGGAAAACATAATAAAGGATTGCTGAATTTTGCTTGAGTAATTGGTAAGACCACACGACGTACAAAGGTCTTCAATCTCTTTTGCTGTCAGATAGCTAAAGGTCTTTGCAATCCTCTGCTAACGAAAAGACCTTAAAATCAACTATGGTGGGAATTCAAGAGAAACCAATAAAATTGTAGAACAGATATCTCACTATCATCTTCAGA